TCTTTTAGTGGCAGCTGATTTGATAGATCCTGCCATACACTCTCTCTCATATATTGTATGTTTTGCTTCATAGGGACAAAATAAAAATATGCATAACCTTTGAATGAAGTGCTATGAACTCAAATTCTTTTAGGGTTTTTACTAGGGCACTATGTAGTATATATTGACAAAAATTTTATTAAAATCCAAGAGAGGCACTGGAAGAGGTTTCCTTGTAAGCTGGGCAGTCAGAAAAAAAAATATGTCATGTAATATTTTACACATCTACAGCAGGCAAACGAACATGGGTATTACTGTAGAAAACAAAAAGTCGACACTACTTTATACTTACGAAAAAGCAGACACGTGCGTAAGACTCGCAAACGCAAAGGGAATGTGCGCTTATCGACACCGTCTTGGTGAAAAGTGAAGACGAAAGAACTGATATCGTTAGTATCGACATTTTTTTTCTTGTGCTTTTTATCATAATAAGTCAATAGCAGAAACCATCAGTAACGTGAGAGATATTGTTGTCGTCGAGCGAGTATGATATAAAGAACATGTTTTGACTGAAAATGATTTCTCCTAGTTTTTGTATAAAGGCTATCGATGCTATGTAAGATATTGCTTAGCGCACTTTATTCGAAAAGTGAGTACTCGTTTAAGATACGTGGGTGATTCCATCAGGATACTTCCACCGTTACAGTGACCATCTTAGAATCCCACGAAACTTTCATGGCTTGTATAGATTTTTGAGCTGATCATGTTTTTGGTAACAGAGAGGATATAGATGTGGATCTTCTATTCTTTCATGTCCATCCACATCCGCAAACATTTCTCTACTCAAAAATATAACAAACTTATAAGTTGAGCGCTTCGCACTGTAATGAGATATAAGAAAATATATGATAGAAACATTCCATTTTTTACATCAACAATATCACAAAAATGATGTTATCATTGACTTCAAACGAGTACAATCAGTTATCTGAAGAAACTAGTTTAAGCAAATAATGGATACAAGATTGTGAAAAACGTTTTATGAATAATTTTCTAAGTATAAGTGTATCAAAAGAACATTGTATCAATCTTTATCGTTCATAGTATATTGATGTACGTAATTCGAATGGTTACTACGCACATATGTTCTTTACTGCATCTGACGATAATCGTGACCAAACATTACATTCTCGTGAATTTCTATGTCTTTTAGTAGTTATTCAGGGTACTAATGAAAATGATAAACTTGAAATAGTTACTAAAGCATAAAATTGAAATTAATTAGAAACTTATTAATTCTGTAAACATTTTCAAAATGCTATTATATCAATATTAGAGCGTACTTGAACCCAAGATGATGATGATCAGGCTGGAAAATCAGTAGCGAACAAACGATCGTATACGACCATTGTGTACTAGCAATGGATACAGAGCTATACGTTCAAACACGAAAAACGTATGCGATGAACATAAACGCCTGTCATGCATGACTATTGTACACGATCGTATTTCGTCGCGTATGACACGATGAGATATGGTCGTAATTCAAGAGATAAGTAATATGATCGTATACGGTCATAATTTATTCTGCATACAACCGTACATGATTGTTTACGGTGTTTTATAGTACCGTTTTAATATTCGTCCTGGAAATGTATGTAAAAAACATAAAATAATTATTGAGTTGACTATGAAATGTTTAGGATTTTGATGAAAACAATAGAATAACTAAAAAGGAATTTATTCGATGTCATAAAAATGATAGAAGTTTATATGAATTGTTAGTTGTTTCTTGTGTACCAAAACCAAATTGTTCGGATGATGATTTATCTGGAAAAGAAAAATGTAAAATATTAATTACAGCAGATACACAAGGTAAAAAATTATTATTAATTAAGTTGTCTGATAGGAATGCAAATGTTTTTCTTATATTACATGGTGAGAAAAACAAAATCTAAGCCAATACAATTACAATAGTCACATATATTTGAAGATGCGTTTCGATATAGACATAAAGATAAATTTACATAATCTGTAACATCAAGAGGTGAAATAAAAAGTACAATACTTTGACATACAGATGATAAATAACAAGGATCGGTATGCATAAAAATTAATGGTTACAGATGAAACATTTAATATAAAAACTTATTTTCCTGTACATCGTTGGGTTCATGTTGATGAATATCATAAAATGACAAAAATAGGTCTTATTATAAATCAACCGCCTGGTTATGCTCAATAAACAGATGAGCATACTTCATATTGTTTGTTATGATGTAATTATATATTAAATACAAAAGACTTGTTTTCTTTAAATAAACACTCTCATCATAGAATTCATATATCTCCATTAGCTTGAAAGATCATTCAGATTTTCGTACTAATCAACAAAATTCTTGAGTTGTATATGCAATTATGAGTTAATTAAACAAAAATACTGAATACTTATATGAAATCATGAGTTTATATACGACTTCATACTTAATAGTATATGAAGTTTCTAAATACAGAATTATCAGCTACGAATATAGATGTATAAAACAGTGAAGTTATAATCGGTAACAATTACCAGGTGGTCTAGATTCTTTTTTGAGTTTTTGCATATTGTTTTTCCTTAAAAAACTGATCATAAAAAAAGTTTTCGTTGCAAATCAATTACTTTTACTGTTGCCAAAGACTATCTTTGTAAGGGGACGTACATCAGACTTTTTATTTTAAAGTAAAAATTCGCCATAGTATGTTTTAAGTATTTTATCAACTTAATTTAATAAAAAACTATTTAATCGAAATAATACGAATAGTTATTTATCATTGCAGTTTATCGCAAATTTATTTGTATCCTTTTCTATTTATAGCATATATTTCGCATAGTCATAATATATAACAAAATGCATATCATATGCAAGCAGAATACGTATAGCATTAATTCGTAATGTCCAATGCCTGGTAAGTATTGAATGAGTAAACAAAGGTTATATTCAATTTGTACTTCTATGAAGTTTTCTGTTCACCGATAGATACTAAATGAGAGAAAAATTATGGAAATTAATGTTGAAAAACGCTATTGTAGTGGTAAACGGTAAATATGATTGTTTGAGAGTCAGAAAAGTGAAGAAGGTCTGATGTCGATCTGAACGTTTAGACCAGTACCGGTAAGGAAAACATACTACATGTTCTGACTCAAGCTTATAGAGTTTTACAAGCAAGAAAAAAGTAACTGACATCTGAAGTACCTACTCTTTACTCTTTTTCATAATGTAGATATATATCGTAGTTATTCATTCTATCAAATTGAATAGAAAATATTTTTATAGCTAATAAGATTTATTTGAATCCGAATTTAAGATTATCATATCCATGAGTAACTTAGCCCTCTAATATATTTATTATCTAATTTATAGACAAAGGAAAGCCGAATTGTAATGTCCGTATAACACAAATTGTAGAATAATCCAATGCCGTCGATTTTTTATCAAAACTGACGGTTACCGGAGTTCTAAGGAAAACCGAGTCCAAAAGTCGGTTTTCCTTCATTTATATCTTTTTTTATTATTTTATTACTAAATTAATATTATTAGTCCCGAAAAAGTCGATTCCAACTTTTAAAAAATCGACTCAATCATACAACTAGAGGTGTAAGCCGATAGGCTGATCGGCGGCGGCGCCAGTTTTTTAAAATTTTTTAAAAATGCTCGGCGGCGCAGATATGATATTCTAAGGTTGCACAGCGGCGGCGGCTCGAAAATTTTAAAATTTCGAATACCATCGGCGGCGCGGCGGCTGTAATTAAAGTGTCTCAGCGGCGGCGGCTTAAAGTTTAAAAAGTACTACATTATCATAAAAATATTAGTCTATGGCCTTGTCTACACTAGGAATATAATGTAGTATTAAATTCGTGTTACATCAATTCGTGTCTACATTTGACAGTTAATGCATCAATCAGAATCCTAGACGTCGAAATGAATCGTGGTTTTTGTTCACTTCAATCATAGAGGACTCGTCCATTGAAAACTGTGTCAGTCTCATTAGAAAATCGAATCCGACATTGATTGGTGCATAAAATTTAATGTTGTTCTGAAATGTGCAATAAATTTAATGCACTTTTTAAAAGTGTTTTAAATATTTACCAACTGTTCAACCAATCATGTTTCTTAATTCAGCGTCAAAATTTTTGGTGTAGACAAGGGCTATTTCAATACCTTGGCCTTTTTATTTTCAAACACATATGTGGAAAAACTTTATTTCACATCTAGACATAATAAAAAAGTCTATAATTAAAAATAAATATAATTGCCAGGATAAATAATAAATGAGAAATCACCACCACGATTGTTAATAAGTAAAAGCACTTAGCATACTCAAGTTTGTTGTTTTTATTTTGTTTTTGTTAATTAAAATTTGAAATGCTCGTCTCTTCTTGTATTTCTAAATATATCTAATATAAGAGACATAAACTAAAATGATAATTTAGAATTTTCAACCAACACAGAATTAAGGGTTCATTCACAATTTAGAACCCCAAGCATCTGATTGGTCAGAGAACCAGCATGAAAATGAAGGTGAAGGCGAGAAAGTTAATGAAAAAGAGATATATTAGGGTTCTAAGATGTAAAAGTATCGAATTAAGGAAAATATAAATGAAATGTTATCGATATTTACAATAGTTGCCGGCGGCGGCGGCTCGATAATTTTAAAATTTCGAATACTATCGGCGGCGCGGCGGCTGTAATTAAAGTGCCTCAGCGGCGACGGCTTAAAAATTTCTAAAATTTCTACTGTCATGGCGGCGGCGGCTTAAAATTTTTCGAGTTTATCGGCGGCGACGGCGGCTCAGCCGCACGGCTTACACCTCTACATACAACAGTAAATTCTGTCAGATGGCGCTACATATTTTCCAATTGATCAAGTCGTCTAACGAATGACTATTTTTATGGTGCTATCTTTTAATAAAAACTCAAACTCGAAAATTATACGAACATGAATGATGTGGCTGGTGCAGGCAGCTCCAGTGCATCGACGATATAGAGAGGGTGTGATTTCGACCAAAATTTGTCAGTTTTGTAAAAATAAAAAATTTGATCAACTGTAACACGAAAAAAAATTCAGCTGGAGAACTGTAGTTAATCGTCAGTTTTCGAGCAGTTTGTATGATATGGGATTCTATTGATATTCGAGATGAATACAGTCTTCTAATATCAATACTCTGTTGTCTTAAATTTAATTTACAGAAATTTTTTTATTTTCTAAGTAATATACTGGAAATACCAATAGAATTAATTCAAACAAAAATGTTTTTTTTTGAATTACGATCAAAATCTTATTAACAAAGAAAATGATTACATAATTTAATGATTTTCTTTTTTTCAAATCAGTGAACGAAATTAATACATGAATAAACACACGCATTAAAATAATACAATGGCTGGTGACTAGAAAAAACTTTCGTTAGAGTAAACAAAATCGATTCTTGTTTTTTCTTTTGTGTTTTATATATAATTCATAAGTTCGATTTCATTTTCTTCTTGAATTGATGTTAATGTTGCACTTCGTTTAATGATTGAACGCCTTCGATACTGTGTTCCATATAGAGTTCGATTATTTCTTGTATCAATTATTGATTGTAGATGGCCAAGAGAATTTAATTCATGTTTGCTAACTGATGTTTTACAGCGTCGATTGTTAGATGAATAAGTTTGTGTTGGTTGATTGAAATTCGAAAGTATTTTAAGAAAAAATTTTGAAAACCGTTTACGAACAGTTTGTTTATCGGATTTCATCGTTGAACTAGTAAAGTAAAGTTACGATAAAATTAAAAAAATACACATGTAAAATGCATCTGTACTTACCATTCGACATTTAATTCTGATTGTGAAATATTATGAGACATGATCACTGATTATTCAATCTGAAAAACATTATTAAATGTCATCTAATAATTTTAAAATGTCACAATTTTAACATATTTTAAGCAATCACATAGATATTATCTCTACATGTAAAAAGCTGAAGATAAGAAATATTGTGTATGTAAGGTTTATAGATTGATGAAGGAAGAAAAAAAACAAAGTTCTGAAGTTTTTTTTTTGTACACGCCTTTGTTTTTTTACTTTGTGATTATATATGCAATACAAGCCAATTTCTTTTATATATTTTTTAATGAATGATCCTCTTTCTTTTTCGCATATACTGACATTCCAAAGAAAGCATGCCGGGTTTGTATGAAAAAAAAATCTGCCACCGGCTTTTTTCTTTCAATCTTCGATCAAAGTACAGTTCACCTCAGGGTGCTTGTATGACATTCTCATTGCTTCCAGAATAAAAATAAAATTTCATGGTAAAACAGGCTATGAAGTGAAGCTATTTTCTAATGTCGACGAAATACAAAACGATAAAAAAGACAAGATTTTTTTTCAAGGTCACTAACTGATGTCGTAAAAGATGCACAAAAGAATGTTGCTCGACGTAAGATGAAATATTACGAGCAAGAAAATATTCATAGTTGCCATATCCATCTTTAAACTAATCTCCCACTGTCTTTAATCAAAACTTTGCATACTTACTTATGATGTCGGAATTCGAACTGTATTCAAACCAAAAAACAAGTACGAAAAATAATGCGAATATGAAAAACAACTATTTTGAATGGTAATAATAAAACTATATTCAAAGTTTAATCTCATTCTACTACAATGATTTCTCGATTGTAAAATCTTCTTGTCTAAAAGCAAAATAACAGATTATTAGGGGATTACATTATAACCTACTTATTTTATACCTTTTAGTTTCTTTTTGACATTTATACTCATCTGAATTTCTTATCTGGCATTTAAGATATTAAACCTATGACGTTTTATCCTGTAAAAACATTGCTAAGCTTGTCTCGGGAAACTTTGTACTCATTCAAAGAATCAATAAATTTCTCCACGAAAAGATTTATTTATAAGATATTATTCTGCAAATTTCGAATACTTCTTTTTTATTACCTATTAATACTTGCTGATGTAAAGATAAGAAAATACTTGAAAAAAATCTTGGTTTTTGTTCGAGATATTTTTAACAGCCAAGAAAAAAAACAAAATGCTGAGACATAATTAAAAGCTTCAAAAATTCCAAAACATTGCATGAAAATGAGATTTTGACGTGATCGATTAAAAAAAATGGAAGTCCAGTTGATGCAACGAACATTTTCTTCAATGCATTTCGATTAAAAATCAATTTCATGGTATTTACTTGATCAAAATGTCAACTTTAATCAATCAAATTGAAATAAGTCAATTTGAATTATTCGTTTTATCATTCAAAATTCCCTTTTTTTCTCGTATTTTGGATGTTAAAATTACGACAATCGTGCATTGTCTTTGTTTGTTTTTGAAGCCCCTCAGCGCTAGCCTGCCAAAAAAAGAAAAAATCAAGTTTTTTTTAAACACTTTTGGAAGACTCAAATATTATATTGTTTCTTGTTTTGTATGCAAAAATAAAAGTAAAATTTCTTTCTTTCTTTGTAACAAATAATAAATTATCTTCAGTTCGTGTTGTCAAAAAATAGGCAATAAAAGTGTCGCTCGAAACTATTTAATTTTCATCTGTTGATTAGAAAGAAACCAAATTCATAAGAAACACTAGTTGAAATGAAAAGCATACTGCAATACATAAATAATATCACGATCAATCTTGAATTTAATTCATATCTGGGTTCTAGAAGCTTTCCGTATATTTTTCTTGCAATCAAAGTATTGAAATTCTGATTCATTTGGGGGGTGTGGTGGTAGGTGTGGTTGAATGCATACTCAGATCTGTACTGTCAAATTAACGTTCTTACTATCAAATTAACAAATTTAAAATGGGAACTGTCCTAGTTATTTCTTGTATGATGATCTGATTCTTCAGCCAGTAAGTAGTAAGTCTTATTTACACTTTCTACAACGTTAGGTGTCACACGAGTTCTAATGTCTTGTTAAAGTTTAGTGATATACTAGTGAAAATAGATTGATTTTCCTCATTTAAATTCGTAAATTTTCAATGATTTTAATTTATTTGAACAGAAAACAACATAATGTACAGTACGATTGTTTTATAATTCATTATGATTAGAGATTACGACTTTTAATCAAGTCGAGCAATTGAGTTGTTGTCGTATTAAGATCAAATTATAAATATTTGCTCTGCGTAATTAATGATTATGTAATAATAGTCAAAAGATTAGAGCCAAATAGTTCTTGACTTCTTAATTTTCTCAAGAATTTTGCTGCTTATTTTAACAAACATAGAACCAGATCAGAGTTAAACTTTTTTTTGTTTTAATGACAGAGCGGAGAACTGATTGCAGATAGCATATTTGTAGATTATACGTGATCATTCAAAATCATTTCTATTTGTATAATATGAAAATAATTACCACTTGATAATGAATAAATTGCCATCAATGAAACAAAGACAGGTCTTGTTGTTGAGTACGACAAGTTGATCCATTAGTGGGAATTAATCGGTGACGCTCTTTGTTTTATGAATACAATTCTAAACTAGTTCAGATTAGTTTAAGTTCTATTTGAATCGATAAAAAGACAATTATTCATGTGATATAATATGTAGAATTTCCGTCAAGGAATGCACTAATTTTCTCTACTACTTTTTTCAGACTTAGAAGTTCGTCCAATGACGTGTATTGGTGCGAGCAAATCCTTTTATATTCTTTTCTTTTGATTAGTCTTCTTCTTTCTTGAGCATGAATACAGTTTATGTGCCAATTAACCTTAAGTTCAATCAGAAAACGATGTATTTGCTCTTTTAGCTTATCAATATCGTTCGTAGAAGGCACTTTTAAAGTACAAAACCAATTTATTTTTTCTAAAATACAGCCAAATTTGGACAAGTAATACCTATTACATACCATTTTCAGAATCTTCACTTTTTTCAATACTTCTAGAAAACATTCAATTTCTGAAATAATTTCGCTATTTCTGTTATGATATATTCACCACTCAAGGGGTGAATCTATTCGATGCAAACAACAATATTTAAGTCAACTTAGCGCATTGCTTGCGTAAAGATCACATTTGGATAAAAACGATAAAATTATTTCAAGAATTCGATGTTCTTTGGAAAAATTGCAAAAAATAACGATTTTCAAAGTTGTGTGCAGGTATTGATTTCTAATTATATTGTAGTTTAAAAATCAAGATATAACTATTTCTTAAGTAAAGCAGATCGTTTTATAAGAAATTTCACAATGAATCTTCTAAAATAAAAAAAATTAAATCGTCAGTGATGAAAAATGATTTAAATATCAACAAACTATTGACATTATCATTTATTGTAACGTACCAGTTAGTTGCTATTTATGAAATAAAGTTATTGATGGTCAACCAAAATAAATTAATTTCTTGTTATCAATTGATAAGTCTTGTAGAAACACAATACTATTTAAGTTCATCAGAATCTGACAATCAAATAAAAATGAACTCGCAAAATGTTTAACAAAAGAACAGAATTAGGCGTAAATTTGATTAGGTAAAAAGACAAAAGCTTTTCTGATGATGTCGAAAAACAATTATGATAACAAAATCTCTACATTTGCTAAGATATATGTCATAAGCAAATTTGAATTTTACGTAAAAACAAATTCAGGCAGATTTCGTTTTTAATTATGCTCAAAACTGTGCAATAACTAACTTTTATTTCAAAATAACTTCTAATTTTCATTTCCATTAAAAGAATACAACACATACTTGTTCGTTTTAAACAGAGGGAGTATACATTTTCACTACTCATATTCTAATGTATGTGTGAATGACTTCTTCTACATCGACATCAGAAAATGATGTTTGAAAGTATCTTTATGAAGAAGAAAATCGACCGATTTCTTTTGAGCATCAAATTTCGACATAAGACATGTATTATTGCACCATGGGAAATGCATAATCTAAAAAGTTCTTCATTGTTTGCAATTAGAATGTAAATAAAATATTTATCAAAGATAATTCGCCTTACTCAAAATCATTTTTAATAAATTACTTTGAAAAGTAAATATTGTGCGTTCGAATAGACTCTACTAGAGAGAAGAAAACAACATTAATTTAAATCATTAAATATCAAAATAAAAAAAGACCGAATCTTAGTCTTTTCTCCAGCATAGAATTGGAGAAGGACGGCGCTCTCCAAAAATCAGGTTGACCATTCCACATTTGGTGTATATTGTACCATAAACTGTGTCTGTACTCCTAACAATGGATATTCGTCTTCCTAGAATTTTAAATCGTCCCTCCAAAAGAGAAAATTTCGATAAAACACTATCGAATCATTCAAACATATATATATAACATTTACTTTGTTTGCACAAAAAACCTCAATATAGTATCCGAATATTCCATATTATTGAATCATTCAATATTGATAAAATAACTCATTGATAATGTAACAGATGTTCTCATATATCATAATGATTTCTCTCAAATTTCATTTCAATTAAAATAATCATCGATGTTCTTATCTATTTCTTTTTATTGGTAATACAAAAAGAAATAAAGCATCGGCAAGTAAAACTATTACAATGCACTGGGTAGCAGCAGTAAGTAAATAAATATTTACTAGAAAATTCTCAATAATAACAGATGATCCATAATAAATGGCCGCATTTTGCATTGCATATTTTAATCTCTAAATACATTTTATTAAAAAAAAACGGAATGTATCGCAAGATGTAGCGTGAAAATCTCTATAATTTAGAAAGTTGTGTATTTTTTATTTTTAAAAAAGCAAAATTCTGTACGACCAATATTCGATGCTGCGAATGATATCATTTGTTGGAACACAATGGATTCCTTTTCTTCTTATTTCATCGATTAATAAATCATCGTTTTTAACTTTACCCCATTGTATATTGTTAATCATAGGATCTCACACGTTATAATATAGAATATTAAGACCAAGACTATTCGGCAGTCATCTGTGATTATCCACAAAAATGCATAAAATTTTTTTCGCATCATGCCAATGGTTCCTGCTTATGGAAAAACAACTTCAGTATAATTTTCGTGTGTTAATGTTGTACCAGATTTAAATATATAATAGAAGATGTAAGACCATTTTAGATGTACCTAAACATACAAAAATTCTTTTTGGAAACGTGGCCTTTTGGTTTATATTCCTTTGCTCGTCTGCTTTTTGTCAACTTGCAAGCATCGAAAATTGGTGGTACAGAATTTTGCTTATTTTAAAAACAAAATAAATATACAATTAAAATAAGTTTTACTTTCTAAATTATAGAGTTTGTCACACTACATCTTGTGGTATATTTTGTTTTTTTTTCTGTTAAAAAAACGTATTTGGAGATTAAAATATGAAATCCAAAGTGTGACCAATTATTATGAGTAATAAATTATTTCTAAATTTTTCATGTGTATAGAAATTATATTATCTTCGTTATATTTCAATCGATCGATTAATTTCCATAGTTTTTATTCATAATTATTTATTGATATGGTCAATAGCTATATTTTGTTCTTTAATTCTTCCTGTATTATTCATATTTGCACCATCATCACTTCGTACAACTCGTACATCACATTTTCTTATTATTTGTATTGTATGTTTATCAAATATGTGTTCTCTTTATGTTCAAGCATATATGATAAGTGGTAAAGGTGAACCAAATTTATCATATCATACATGTCGTTTTATTGTTTATATATCAACATTTGCTAAACCAATTGGAATTTATTTAACATTGTTATTTAGCATTGAAAGATTACTTACAAAAATTTTATCAAAATTTCTTGTACGTTTTATTAATCATCGTCAATTATGTCAAAGATTATATACATTATTAATTTTTCTTATTACAATTATAATAGTATCCATCCGATTATTTGAAGTTTTAAACGTAATTATACGAAATCAGTCTGTAGTAAATCAAACATTGATTAGTTATATCTATTCATATCGAAATATAAAAGATACAAGTAGTAATTCAACAGATCGTTCTATTAAATTTAAATATTGTTTTAATTCAATGAATATAGATAGATATGCTAAATTTCTTTCATTTTATGTTATACAATATTGGTTTGAACAGTTTGCATTAATTATAATTATTCTTATTTTATTAATTTTTATTATTCATCAATATTGTTTACCACGTATTCAACAACGAAATTTACCACTTCATTTTAGTGTGAATACAAAACTTTATTTATCACTTGCATCATGTGTTATTGCATCAGAATTAATTTTACTTTTCTGTCATTTTATTATCGATCATATTCATTATAATAATAGAGATGTACAAATAACATCACTACAACTTATGTTATTTGCATTCAATTTTCGTTGTATCTTTCTTCCATGTATTGTTCTTACAACGACTTGTGATCCATTAAAACAATTTTTATTTGAAATATTTATTTCACGACCTTATCTCGATGATATCGATGAAAATGATACTATAAATACAATAAATAATCAATCAGAACTATTTTCATCTACACAACAAACAAGTAATCGTCTCCAACAAAAATTTCGGCATACATTTACAAAAAACAAAACTAATAACAATGACGAATACTTTGATAATGAAGAATCACACGTTGATTTTTGATTTAATTCATATATGGACTCTCTAACGATTATAAAAGAATGATCTTTCATTTGTTTATTTGTATTTGGTTTTTATTTTATTTTGATAAAACTGAAATTAGACATATCGTTAGAAACACAAATTTCTCTCTTTCACATACTTTAATGATATTTAAGCAATAAATTGCTATAAACTACCAAGATTAATCATTCTATATTCTTTTACTGATTCTAATGAATAATATTAGATTTTAGGTCATTGATAAGCAATCGAGATATTTCGATAAATCGCATAAATCGTTAAAAAAAGAACTAAAGATCACTTCTTTCTTTTCATTTCTTGATTAAATGAAATAGAGAAAAAAATAATTAAAGCATTTGCTCCTGCTCAATAATTCGTTTTTCCGTTTCATGTAAATTATCTGTCTCAAATGTCGAAGATTTCTATAATATGGATAAAATCAATAAATTCAAATACTAATGAGAGAATATATCCAACTATCGGACGTTGTTTGACTTCGTATTATGGCATGGATAAGTTCAAGTGAGACAAGGAAAAGCATACAAGAATTATGGTGGCTTTGATAAAATGTTTACTGAGAGCAAGGCATTTCCGGAAAACTTAAAACAAAAAGTTTTGATCTGAAAGTTTGTCCAATCGTAGATTTAATAGTTATTAGATCATCCTGAAAATTTCAACGAAAACGAACATGTCTTTCTTGAAATATTGAATTTCCAAAACAAAACAGCGGTTTACCATCGGAGAATACAATATAATCGAGTCTACTCAGAAATTAAATATCTCGAGAAAGACATGTTCATTCTGGTTGAAAATTTCGGGTCTATTCAATAGCTATCAAGCCTGTCGTTAGACAAAATTTCAGCTCGAAACTCTTTGTTTTGATTAGTTCAAAAATGCTTTGCTTCTCAATAAAAATTTCATTAAAACGACAATAACTCTTCATCAGTAGGCCATAGGTCCGAATCCTTTTAAAATTTTCTTAGTCTCATCGAGACCTACTACTACTCATAGTGATAACATGAAGTCAAACGGCGTCCACCAATTGGATATGTGCTCTTGTAAGTTTACTAAATTATATACTTTATTTGGTGAAAAACCACTAAATACATCATTCCATGATATCAATAATGATTTGTCCACTGTGTTGAGATTATTTGAACCTAAATAATAAAATTAAGATTCATTTCATTTGATAAAAAATAATTTTACCAAATATAAATATTCCAAGTTAACCGAGAGTAATAGTTAGAAAAACACCATTAAAAGAATACTACATAACAGATACCGAATAGAGTGGCAATAGGAGATTATTTGAACTAAAACATAGACAAGAATCATATTTATATTCATTTATAAAAGCAGAAATACCTTTGACGTATAGAAACAGATTGAGTAATATTAACTATTGGCAAACACCCATTGACAGATGTTGGTAATCGTCCACTTCTATGCATGTGTTGTTGTATTGTAAGATTAGCTCCAAGGAGAATCCATATTTGAAATATCATACACAAACAAAATGCCACAAGAACACTCTATGACAAAGAAAAAAGAAAATTAGTGAATATAATATTTTCACTCAATATACTCATTCGACTATTAATTCGCAATGCAAAAAAAATCAAGTAAATAAACACCAAGAATCGATGGAACAAATGATCCAGCAATTTGAAAAACTATCATAAGAATATTATCACCTAAATAAGATGTAATGAATGCCAAAAATACGACGAAAAGACCAATAATAATAACTATAGAAACACAAGAAAAATATCAATTTTGATTTTCATAATAAACACAAACTTACAAAAATTTTTTTTTTATTATACGTATGAGCTAGTCTGCATAAAATATCACCATAACCATAAAAAGAAACATCTTCAATTGAGATTGTTAAATTTTGCTTGATATAATACATGTTGTAGAGAGAAGAATTTTATGAATTTTGTCGCAAGCCGTTTTAGAAAAATATTAAACCGTCGACTTTTTATGAGTGTTTTACGAAAAATCCTAAAAATGAGCACTTCTATCAAGCGGGATTCTGACGAAGCCATACCTTAAGAATGGGTAGATTAATTGAGCTGAAATATTCTGTGGACATATATATTTTGAAGAGTTCTACTCACATTTAGATTTTCGTCTCCAAATATTGAACCGTTAGAATTTTATAAACCGTCGTTCACATTTTAGGCAACTTCGGCACATTGTAACTTTGGCTTCGAACTGGATAGAGACCTAAACTTTATACTATAGTTAGATTAATTAAAGACGTATCGTTCTTAAAGATTTCAGCTTTGTACATCGTTCTGTTTGGTTAGGAGGATCATGTCAAAAACAAGTTTTTGATACAAATCAATGTGTTCAGATTAGATCATCTTGCAAAATATAGAGCAGGCCTCTAGAAGATAGAAGTACTTTCTGTGATCTATAACTGTATACAAAAAATTAGCGTGAGAGCACAAGGATAGTAATATGCAGAATTTTTATTGTGGTTTTATCAAATGTATCCCAACAGGACAGCCATAGGTTTTTTTTCTAGATTATTTGAATATTGATGACATAAATAAAAGAAAAGTACATAGGTATTTTAAAGTCGATTCTTATCTATGATACTGTACAGCATTTGGATAATATGCACATCCAACGCCGCAAGAACTACATATATTTAGTGGATAATCGTTTTCGTAGATCAATGGTTTATCTTTCTTTTCCATTCCGTACTAGTAGAACCTAAATTTATTGCCTAGAAAAAAATCAGTACGTCATGAAAAGGTTATTAGAAACTTCTATTTTCGACAGAACTCACGCATATTCGAATCTATCTTCTCCGTAAATCCTTCAATTTCATATTCAAATTCGGTTATATCTAATTTTTGCATCTCTCATCTCAGTTGAACAATTCGACAATTCTTTTTAATTTTCATCAAATGTTTCTTATTAAAATCTTCGATTCATTAGTCAAGCTTCACTGGATAGTCTACGTGTTGATTAGAGAATGCACTGTGAAAATAGTTATCGAATGAATCAGTACTTGACCAGCTTCGATCAAATGATCAATAGGATACTTTTTCGGAAGCTTTATGAATTATTTTAGGTGGTAGTGGTGTGTTTGATTGATAGGAGATAGAATGAATAGTATATCATTCAATTGTTATCTGGAACCAATGTAAAATTTCGCGACGTGTTTTACAAGTCGTACAATCGACTACACCAGTAGAGTTACAACTCGAACAACGTATAACACCTGTATCCTTACAATACGAACAACGAGATCGGTAATACATGCCATTATCGGTCCAAGATCTGATCCTGCAATGGTAACAACGTTTCCTACCGTCTTCCGAACATGAATAACAGACGTGGCGGTCACAACCATTACATATCAAACAAGTGGTTCTCTAACATGTTTGCTCAAGATTAGATACTGATTTCAGCTTCTTTTTCAAGACTGTTGATGACCGCTGAAAATTATAGTTCCATACGTTGCGAAGTGTTTCACGAGGTGTTAATTCACCATGATATGGTTGCTGTACTTTTTTCACATGACGACATTCAATTAATATCCACGGATCAATTCGATAGGCAACACGTCCTCGTACTACATTGGTTGTACGTGTATTTGTTAATGCACTCGAATGATAGCAGAAATTTGATTGTACATATGTTTTCATTAAATCTAACAATTCCGACGATGACAACTGGTACGATTGTTGTGCTTCTGAAGCTGCTGTAACTTGATTTCCCATAATTTTTCTAGAAGCATCAGGTTTTGAATCTGTAAAAATCATTAACATTTTCTTTCTCTCGTTTCAAAGACTCCGACTATAAAGAATTAAGGACGCGTGGATGGATATGAATATGGACCTTTTGTTAACTCATACTCATACTCACATCCCACTTCGAATATACTGAGAAAGCAAACGTACGTAGGAGAATAATAGCAAATGTATTTTTAAAGAAACAAACCAGAGACGAACAATAATAATGTCTTCTGAGATTGTTTTCATTACATATAATTGTAGTATTGGAAGAAAGACATATTGTGTCGATAAAGTTAAACAAAAAGAAAAACATTCATTCTCGATTTTTTTTTCGATGATTCACGTCATACATTATTATTTTTTCTTGCTATTTGTTGTGTTGACTATGCATTGTACGTTTGAAATCAATCATTGAAAGTAACTGAGTAACTAAAATTTCTATACTACAGGAAAGACTTGATATGATGGAGTACTTCTCCTTCGTCAGACTCTTACCCTAGTGAACCAGTCAGTGGTGCTAATGCTCACTACATAGGCTTTCGATTCAATATCTTTGTCTTACTACTTTGTTTTGAGCATTAGCCCATTAAGAAGCTATATATTCACATGCGGGTGATTGGTTAAGTGTGGGTGGATGTGAGAATAAAACATGGAAAGAAGACAATCAGCCGCACACACACAGCTACCTACACGCAGCAGCCCAAACACCAAGCTCACTAACCACCTACACTAATCAACTCATACTCACATAAATTAACGTTTCTCCCACATTCACGCTCTCCCCAATGACATCAATATAGATCTTGCAGAAACGCATCGGCAAAACATACTGAAACTAACATCCAACTGCACACAAACGCTTACACCTGCCCGTGTTCACATTTCTAAAACTAGCTAAAGTCACACATCTGCATACCTTTTGATACAGCACTGCAATGCAATATCATATAAACTTGATTCTCATTTTTGTTAGAAAGAGCATAATCTCTAGCGCAAAAATTTGTAAAAGAATTTAATCAGAAATCAATAAACTCTTAGAATAAAAAACACCTGAACACTCTTTCACAAATTATTTGAATTTAGGAAAAACTTTACACAATAAGAATAGTTTTCTTTTTATTCGGCTTTTCAAAGTTTCCCAACGTCAGGATAGGGAAGTTATTACTGTTTCGAAAAAAAATATTCTACGTATTTTACAACGACTACTATGAACGCTACTATAGCATCATCAGGTATCACCGACATTTTGTAATTAGCAATCACAATCAAGTAATTTACATTAATAGAAGATCTACGTATATTTATTATGAAAAAGAAAGCTTATCGAATCCTCTTCTAAATGTTATTATTTGGAATAGGATAGAACTTCTCTATGAGATATTTAAATAAAACTTTTTTTACACATTATAAACCCCAAATTGAATTTTTAATTAAACTATCTGTTTTACAGTCTCTTATGGGCCAGATTAACTATCTTAACATCACACGAAAGTCGTCGTTGCAAGGAATAGTTATATATATAATGCTAGAAAATATCAAAAATCAACAATGAAAAAGGTTACACAAATATATTTAGATAGAAAAATTGTAATAGAAGTTGCAAAAAAGTTACCGATTGCCTTTCGTTCTAAGAGCTTTTTCGAACTTTCAGAGAATATGTCCGATCAAATTCTTTTAAACATTTTCGCACGAGATGTTTTACTCTTTCTAATACAAGAAAACATCATCAATTTTCTTGAACTGTATCAAATACTTTTAGACTAGTTTATCTGATTATTTAATTTGCCTATTAATTTCAGAATAAAAAAATAATAATGTTTTGTAGTTTACACTAAAGATCGTACACTGGAAATGGCGGATCGAACTAGGATTATATTTGATATCTTGAAGGTATAACTAAGTGCTTAATTAATTCAGATGTAAATAATCATCATGTCTCTTAAGTAAGATAAAAAAAAAAACTTCGAATTATTTGATTGAAAAGTTCAGTCTAAATTTAATAAATCGTTTCAGAAGTTCAGTCTCAATAGGTGACTTTAAATTTTGATAATGGCAATCAAAACAATGAGCAGACTATTGAACCCAATACCGTCAACTATACTGGTATATTTCTTGAATCCTTATTCAGCAATAATAACAATTCACCTCTTGCATTACATTCTAAAATTGAAACTTCATAACAACTTTCTATTACTAATTTACCAAAACTCGTTTCATCTAATTTCTTCGAATATTGACAGACTAAAAAATAACTATTTTCAGTCATCTATTCTCTCAATGGATCTATTTAAATAGGACCGAGTTTGATAAATTGATGTGTTTTATTACTAATCATAATCAATACCAAATAACTTTACTATTTTTTTTTCAAATTAATAGCATTTTTCTTTTGTAATAGATTTTACTGTCTAACGCATCCTTGTTTTCCATCAACAAATGAACAGATTTAATAACAATGAAAGATCTCATTTAATAAGACGCCATAGTTCATTTTGGAATTTACAAACATTATGATTACCCGAACCAAATATAAAAATTCAAAAAAACAGTTCTAACAGCTGTTACACATAATAAATATCTCACAACTACACATAACCAAATGTGAAACTTCTCATTATCAAATATAACATTTATTAATAATCATATTTCTTAAAACTGTAGTTCTTTCTAATAATTGGATCAAAAGTTAATATGTCGAATAACTCTTATTTTTTGCTAATAAATGTCACATACATTGACGTATTGTAATGCACTTTTTTTTTAGAAAGTGCTAAGTGCATGCCCTTAATATTCTTCTTCGGTTTTATATTTGAAGATAACCAACTGTTGTTAGTTATTCCACAGGAAAAAAAAACATTTTGTTTATATGGGATTCAATCTCATCTGTATATGACATTTAGTAATTTAGAAAATACATAAGAAAAATCAAGTGAAACATATAAAAAAATAGCAAGTTTCATTTTAAAACTTGCTCTTGTATTAAATTCAACGCCATATATTCAAAGGTTGAAAGAATTTTTTATTTCTTCTTTTTCTCGTTTAGTATAAAACAGTTTATACCAATATATATAATTATGAAATGGAAAATATTTAACATAAACAATAAACAATCGATGTGTTAATAATTGAATATGAGAACATAATCAATTACATAAACAATAATCGAAATCAGAAAGTGATAATGATGAAATATTATGATTTAAAAAAAAATGACAAAAATAATTGAATATATATTAAGGCAATGAATCAAGTTTTTTTTTCTTGTTTGTTAAATACTGATGCTTGTTTTGTTTTCTTTAATGAATAGAAAGTATTGCCGATAGCACTGCATCTGATCATTGCATGTTTTATCCTTTAGTAGTTAGCACCCTGATGTGCTTTCGTTCTTGTTCTGATAACTTATGTTTGGATAGATAGAGAGAATAAGAGTATATGTATGTCTAGTGATAATAGAAACCATTTTGCCATTGACATTTTCAGTGAATTGCACACTGCTGAACAGGCATATATATATATTCGATGCCTGATAAAGTCAATACTATTTCTTGTTGTTACTGTTTGGAGCAGCCTAATGGGGAAGAAGGTACGTTGATCTGTTACATTCTTAAATAGAACATAGACGCAAATTATAATAAATATAACATAGAATGATGAAATCAAGGAAGCCCTAAAATATATTCTAGAATATAACTATAAATATCAACAAGAGAAAGTTGATAAATATCAATTTCCTTTAATAAGACATATAATTTAGGAAAGAAAAAGACGATGATTATGATGATTTCTAATAACTGATGAGTTTGAATTACAAAGTATTAAATATATACCCTATATCATCAGTGAAATACCTCTCATTAAATGTGATCTAAATAAAAATATAAAAAACATTGAAAATAATTTCGAACAATATGCATATGATCCAAATTTATATTTATAAAAGATATAAAAAAAATAATTGAATAATCCATCGTCATTTTCTATTAATTCTTCTAGTAATCGTATCCATATATACGATGCTCGGTTAGTCATTAAGCCCCCCCCCCCCCACCCCCTTAGAAAATCCAATTTTTCGGAGACGAGTCGAAATTGAAGTTTTGTCATGAGAAGATGCACCGAAATCTCCTCTTTCAGAATATCTATGGTTTATCAAAAAATAAATTGATTTCGACGAACTTATCGTCTAAAACTTGGCTCCTAGTGTCATATTTTACGAGAAATTTTCACGGTTTTTTTAAAGCTTTTTCGAATTTTTAGGCTGCTTTCTCTTTGCATCAGTATTCCGTAAAGTTTTTTTCTATACTAATCACTAAGAGACTATGAATACTTAATATTAAGATCACAAATTTATAGCCTGTCTTGAACATTGATATATAAATCAGGTGATTTTCGGAAAAATCCATTTCTAATACTTATTTTTCCTTTTTCTCAAAATCAATTTTTTCGAGCGTACCGTTTACACGGGCGAGGATTTTTCAATAACGACTCAATAGATAAGGGATAATTTTTTTTGTTGAATGGAGGACAGTTAGGGCTAGATCGTAATAGAGTCCGATTTTTTAATTTCTCTTTCGCTGAAATAAAAAGCTTAGATATTTCATTTTTGTTAGCAATTTTTTTGGGCACGAATTCGTGAATTTTGAGAAAAGTATTTTTAAAAATCAAACAAAGACAAATTCAAAAATCGGGCTCTATTACGACCTAGCCTTAAGGGTACTCCACAACCTGAAAACCACCCGGGCTTGTTAGCTCGTATTCTTATTGTGAAATCCTTGCCCGCATAAAGGGTAATGAATTGACTAGAATTTGTGCATTTCTTTGAGATTTGGGGCAGATACTTTACTCATAAACTATTCTAGTCAAGGTCAACATTTCCTGAAATTTTGGTTGAAATCGGATGAAAAATAACAAAGTTCGTTTCTGAGGGGAGGGACCATTAAAAAAACTAAAAGAACATGATAACAATGCCTTTTTTTTTTCTTTTTACATCTTAGTTTTTTTGATTCTTTTTTTCCGAACGAATGAGGAAAAACTGT